CTTTTTTCCTTCCCCCCCCCCTCTCCCCCCCCTTTCAAAACTACAATAAACTGTATAATCGCCTTAAATGATTGTCATAAGGAATACCCTTTTTTTTTTCCTTTTTTTTGCTTGACATCATTTGTTAGGCTTCAAAACAAAGCAAAGCAAAACAAAACAGAAGAGAATAGAAAAGAACAAAAAAAAGAGCTAAAACTTTAATTTTTTTTTTTTTGATAACGGTTACAAAACTAATCTTAGTGAACATTTTTTGGTGTTTATGTTGTGAAGCTGCAGAAAGAAGTGTGCAATTTGGTTACCACTAAACTGAGTTTTACAGAGTGACTTCTTAGACGGGACAGATGTTTGCCCAATATTTCTATCCAATTTTATTGGCAATCCTTTGGTTAACTTCACCAAATTGTAAGATTTTCTTTTCTTTCTTTTTTTGTTTGAAAAAAATCGTTATTCTTTGGCAAAAATTTAATAAAAAAAAAATTTTGTTTTCTGATTCTGTTTTTACAATTACAATTATTAAGTCTAAAAAAAAAAAAAATTTACTGTCTGCTGTGTCTTCTAAAGCAGCTTTTCTATATTTTTAAAGATTTTATAGACAGTGAAAATTTTTTTGCTATTTTTATTTCAAATCTTTTTAATATTAGCTTAAAAATGACTCCTAAAGTTTGTGATAAAACAACAAAAAAAAAAATTCTAAGTTTTATAATTTTATTTCAAAATCTATTTTTAAATATTAAAATGGTATAAATTGATGTTGTAAAATTTTGTAGACGGTTATCGAGGTCATGTTTGCACTCTTTCTAACTTGGAACTAGACGTTGTGTTTGTCCTAGATGCTAGCGCTGGAGTAGATCAACATGGATATGCTGGGGTAAAATTCTAGTATCTAAATCTGAATTACTTTTTACACCTACCAAATCAAACATTTTTCCTTCGTCCTAACAAAAACCAATGCTTTGACATGCAAAAAATCTGTTGTTTATTTATCAATAAACACTTTTTGTCGTTGTGTTAAAAATTCAGCAATGTTAAACTGTTGTTTTTTCAATAACCAAAAAAAAAAAAAGCAAAAAATTTTATGTAGTAATTTGTAGGAAAAAGCTGCAATTTATGGACTTTTCAATGAACTTACAATTGGTCAAAGAACTGAGATGACTCGTGTGGTTACATTAAATATGGGTAGTCAGGTAATGTCTATACAATTTTTTTTTCTTGAGACTTTATCTATTCTTTTCTGCCTGAAAAACGGCATTGCAATAATCTGTTATAAATTTAGGGTTTTTTTAAATTATTCATAAAAGATTACTTTAAACAATCTGATTGTTTCAAAAAACTTCTAAACAAATTTAAGCACTACAAAACTGTAAAAGTTTCCCTGTTTGTTATGGTTAACATTTGCTAAAAAAGTTTTACTTAACAAAACTGAAAAGTTTTATAATTTGCTATAATTTTTTGTTGATTGATACATACTGACTGATAAATGCCACTAACTATTATACACTCAGTCTTAGCTTGAAATTTTTTTCTTTGAAAGAAATTTTTCAATTTTAAAATATACACTAGTTTTTTTTACAGACTAACAATGAAAAAGTTTCCTTGGGTATGTATCGGGCTGGTGATCAAGCCAAAAAAGATCTGTTAGAATTGCCATATAAAGGTGGTGAAGTAAATCTTCAAAGGTTTGTTTAAATATAATTTTAAAAATTTTTTTGAGGTATCCTCTAAAAATTATTTGAAATTTAAAAACTAACTGTTTTTCTTTTTAACTATTTCTTTTTATCACATATCAAACAACAACAATTAAAAA